CTGATGAGCAGGGCTGCTGAATGGGGAGAACACTGGGTCAGTTGTGCTGGGCCCTTGGGCACTGGGGGCCCCCAGAAGGACCCTCTAACCTTTAAATAATCTACCGGAATAATTTATCAAAAGTACAAATTTGTGGAAACTTTATATAGTATTCTTGAGTCACATAAAAGCTTGTTATTTTTATCCTATTAAATTTTCCTGGACATAGTTTCCAAAACACAACCTGTACTTTCTCTCTCTCTCACACTCACACACACACACAGAGTAGAAAGGCCTACTTGGATGGAGCACATCACAGTGCTTGGCTCCCAGTGGGTCATTTCATCAGTCTGCTGGTTGGCCGGTGCACAGAGCCAAGTTTCTACATTCGAAAGGAATCATAAGTCAGTTCTTTGTTTAAAAAAAGATGTTTTCAAAAACAGATCAACTGCCATTTGGTTACTGGAAACAAGTCAAACTCAAAAAAGTCTGTACAGATTCAAAAATACTTTTTCTGTGAGAAGACAAACATATGAAAGAACTCACTGGGTTCAAGCTGAGAGAGACGATTTTTGCTCTTGTCAGCTGCACTGTAGATCCACTGAGGAATAGACAGACAAACAGCCAACACATCCCTAACACAGAAGAAGATATGACAGAGGTAAACTTGGTAGATTTAAAGAGGTTTGCAAATACACTGAATTGGCCACAGTCCTGTCAACGTCTAAGCATTTTCTGTTTAGGTTTTTAACTGAATTTCAAACTAACATTTTTAAAAACTGAGTCAGGATGTTTCCTGGTTAGCCAGAGAAAGAAAGATTTACAGATTAGAACAATGGCAGCACCATGCAACAGCTGTGCAAAAGTAGGTTATACAAGTTCAATCACACGCAACAATTAAGACATCAGTGGTACAGCCGGTTCTTACCTGGTCAGAGAGTAGAAGAACACCAGCTGAGCCAAGTCAGAGAAAGACAGGCGTGACTCCGACAGTTGGAAGACTGAGACAGACAGAGTGGGTAGTCAGTTTCATTTTTAAAATGTTCTCTTGAAAATTATACATTCCCGTAAAGACGCAAAGCTTGTAACAGGAAGGCTAAAAAGGGGATTTAAAGATAAGTCAGTGTCATATTTTTACTATTAGCCATCAAGTTTTTGCCGTCATGTGGTTTCTAATGCTCAACAGTGCTGTTGCAGGTCAGAGGTGTCATTATCTCTTCAGCCTGTGGTTAAGATACTATATTATACCACATGCATCTATCCTGTAATACAAGTATCGAGGCTGTGTGCACATCAAATTAGAAGTAGTGCTGTCAGTTGATTAAAATATTTAATCATGAATAATCTCATGATTGTACATAATTTGTGATTAATTGCAAATTAATCACTTTTGTTTGTTGTAAAGTAACTAAGTACATTTACACAAGTACTGTACTTAAGTGCAATTTTGAGGTATCTGTACTTGAGTATTTTCCTTTCCTGTTACTTCATACTTAAATACATTTTAGATGCAAATATTGTACTTTTTACTGCACCGTATTTATAACTTTAGTTATTAGTTACTTTTCAGAACAGATTAATAGAAAAACACAGTACAAAACCTCGATCTATGGTGGAAAATTCACAAGCTACGATGCAGTAATTCAAATTAAATGCATACAAGCTGGTTTAAACCAGTTCCCTCTTTACCAGCTGCAGCATTAAACGTGACGTACAGAGTAATGGATCAATAATTATAACAGTGATATGATGTACAGGAATGTGAATGTGCCGTTCTGCATAATGAATACTCTAAGTATGTTTTGACGCCAATATTTTTACTTAAGTAAAGGATCTGTTTAAATTACTTCTTCCACCACCCATTCTAAATGTACCTTAAGAGATCCCGAGGTAACTGATGAGAGAAGTCCAGTAGTGTCCGGCGAGCGCAACTGTGCTCATCTGTCCCAAATTCTCCTCCAAATTATCGTTCTCGTCTTCATATAAATAGTGGTGGCTCTCGAAGGTAATTCACGCGCAGTCTTTGGATACGATGCAAATTATTTCAAGCAGACCTTCGTCCTCCACAATGTCAATCACCCTGAAAGCTGTAAACGCCAATTCCGCTATCGCTGCTTAAAGTTTGTTGCTTGCAGAGTTGTCCAGGCGTCTCGGTTGCAAACTATCCAGCGTGGTCTGCCTTTGGCAAAGGGGAGGAGCGCTCTCTGCATCAGCTGTGTGCTTAGCCAGCAAGTGGTGTTTGGGACTCGACGTACTTCGGTGGAAACTCATTTCATACATCAACAGTAAATGCAAATAACTGTGGCCTAGTCAACAGAACCGTCTGCCAGGGCTTTAAAGCTGAATTTGCCATTCAAAACACCTCATTCTCTATCAGTTTCTGGTGCTGCATGGCTTCCTGATTTCTGAAACTATGTGGCGGGTTGAGGGTCGATCATAATCATAGAACGTGCGTAATTACGCGTCAAAACGTTAGTGGCGTTAACAGCGATTTGCCTTAACTCACTATGGAGTTAACCTTGACAGCCCTGAGGTAAAAATTACAGTTGAAGGAACCGGAATTTGCATTTTGAAAGTGTCCTGGAATTGTGTGCAGGTGTTACCTGTTCTCACCTGTAACAGGTTCGTATTGCAGGTACGCGCCAAAGCGCCAGTAGCAGAAAGTGGAGCTACCGGACATATGACGCTATTGGGTTACGGCAACTGTCATTCTATTCAGTTTTAGAGGAAGTAATGACTCAAAGTAATCACGAAAAGTGACTCACGGGGAACTCAGTGACTGGATCACACACAGAGACAGAAATATTGTAACTACATGTTTGCACATGGCTGGTACATACCTGTCCCTGTGCATTTGATTTTATAATCAAGAACGGCTTCACTGTCTCCCCCAGCAGACACACACAACAGGCTGGGCTGAGACGTCACGGAGTCCCGCACAACCAGGAAACTCTGGCAGGAGACATGCACACGGTGACTCATTTCAATAGCTGTGTGCTGAGCAGGAAGACATTCTCTCTTAAAACGAGTGACAGGTTACACAGTCTACTTTCGTGGCAGCGAGGCAGCACAGGGAGAGAAACAATGAGTGATGACAGAAAGCTGGATGGAAATGAAAACAGATGAGTTAACATGTGTAAAACAATAACACTGTCAGTAATTCTATGACAAAACTTAATTGACTTGATCTTGAACATTAGTCATGGTGAAAGGTTGTTGATAGGACAAATTAAAGCTACATAAACAGCACCTCATAAGGCTCTAAGGAGGTTGGTTAATACTGCCTGAGTGACGACTCCAAGTGATATATTAGTGATGCTTTTGCAAATGTGTTAAAATTAAAGAATTAAATATTAATTTAAATGCACATATATTCTGTGGATTACATGTATTAACTTTTATCTTAATGATTTGATCAGCTTCTTCTAGCCTAGATGCTCTTAAACTGTTCACCTCAACTCTCTTCAACACCACCACCCAACAGTTATAGCCAGAAGATAAGCAATGTCTACTTTTTAGTAATACAGTCTAGGATGGTTTTGGGGTCCTTGTGCCAGAATTGAATTTTTTTCCTGCATAGATTCATGACTACCCATGAAAAGATGAGAAATTGCAGTTTGTTTCAATTAATTTGCACAATATTTATGGGAGGAAAGTAACAAGTCGTTCGTTTTTTTGCTTTGCATAATGGGGTCATACATCAACACTTATATCAAAGTTAGATCGATTTTGGCCAGGGGTTTTTAACAGATTGTGAACTAGGGACTACCACTAACTACTGACCACTGATGCATGGCGGATTGTCTCGATGGTCCTTGTTTCAGTCCTGGAAGTTACTTTGGCGTTTCTAAAGATACAGTGCCTTGCGAAAGTATTCGGCCCCCTTGAACTTTGCGACCTTTTGCCACATTTCAGGCTTCAAACATAAAGATATAAAACTGTAATTTTTTGTGAAGAATCAACAACAAGTGGGACACAATCATGAAGTGGAACAAAATTTATTGGATATTTCAAACTTTTTTAACAAATAAAAAACTGAATAATTGGGCGTGCAAAATTATTCAGCCCCTTTACTTTCAGTGCAGCAAACTCTCTCCAGAAGTTCAGTGAGGATCTCTGAATGATCCAATGTTGACCTAAATGACTAATGATGATAAATAGAATCCACCTGTGTGTAATCAAGTCTCCGTATAAATGCACCTGCACTGTGATAGTCTCAGAGGTCTGTTTAAAGCGCAGAGAGCATCATGAAGAACAAGGAACACACCAGGCAGGTCCGAGATACTGTTGTGGAGAAGTTTAAAGCCGGATTTGGATACAAAAAGATTTCCCAAGCTTTAAACATCCCAAGGAGCACTGTGCAAGCGATAATATTGAAATGGAAGGAGTATCAGACCACTGCAAATCTACCAAGACCTGGCCGTCCCTCTAAACTTTCAGCTCATACAAGGAGAAGACTGATCAGAGATGCAGCCAAGAGGCCCATGATCACTCTGGATGAACTGCAGAGATCTACAGCTGAGGTGGGAGACTCTGTCCATAGGACAACAATCAGTCGTATACTGCACAAATCTGGCCTTTATGGAAGAGTGGCAAGAAGAAAGCCATTTCTTAAAGATATCCATAAAAAGTGTCGTTTAAAGTTTGCCACAAGCCACCTGGGAGACACACCAAACATGTGGAAGAAGGTGCTCTGGTCAGATGAAACCAAAATCGAACTTTTTGGCAACACTGCAAAACGTTATGTTTGGCGTAAAGGCAACACAGCTCATCACCCTGAACACACCATCCCCATTGTCAAACATGGTGGTGGCAGCATCATGGTTTGGGGCTGCTTTTCTTCAGCAGGGGCAGGGAAGATGGTTAAAATTGATGGGAAGATGGATGGAGCCAAATACAGGACCATTCTGGAAGGAAACCTGATGGAGTCTGCAGAAGACCTGAGACTGGGATGGAGATTTGTCTTCCAACAAGACAATGATCCAAAACATAAAGCCAAATCTACAATGGAATGGTTCACAAATAAACATATCCAGGTGTTAGAATGGCCAAGTCAAAGTCCAGACCTGAATCCAATCGAGAATCTGTGGAAAGAACTGACAACTGCTGTTCACAAACGCTCTCCATCCAACCTCACTGAGCTCGAGCTGTTTTGCAAGGCGGAATGGGCAAAAATTTCAGTCTCTCGATGTGCAAAACTGATAGAGACATACCCCAAGTGACTTACAGCTGTAATCGCAGCAAAAGGTGGCGCTACAACGTATTAACTTAAGGGGGTTGAATAATTTTGCACGCCCAATTTTTCAGTTTTTTATTTGTTAAAAAAGTTTGAAATATCCAATAAATTTCGTTCCACTTCATGATTGTGTCCCACTTGTTGTTGATTCTTCACAAAAAATTACAGTTTTATATCTTTATGTTTGAAGCCTGAAATGTGGCAAAAGGTCGCAAAGTTCAAGGGGGCCGAATGCTTTCGCAAGGCACTGTATGATTATTCATAAGAAATAATTAATAAATGGAAATGTGTTTAACCTCTAGAGTCCCTGCGTCCTCATATGAGGACCGCACAGCTTGGGTTTCCAAAGCTCAGGACTCTAGAGGTTAAAAATAAATTGTGATTTCAGTGAAATTGCTTTATCAAATGCGTGATTTGGGACCACTTGCAGTGGCCTCACCATGGGGGGTGCGGACCACTGGCTGAAAACCTGTTTTACACAAAAGATTTCAGAATTTTTTTTTGTCTTTCGTAGGTTCAATGTGAGCAGGGCTAAATTGGAAAAAACTGTATTTTACCAAGGTCCAATCAGAGTTCAGCAACATTTGATTCAAACTGATGGCACTGAGTGGGTTGAGTTTGCTACCATGCTGCTGCCAATTAAATCTAACCAAACTACACTCACACACGTGAAACCAAAGCTTTTGAACACTTAAGGGCATTTTAAACAAACTAAATACTTTCAGTTCATTATAGATGTTTTTATTCATCTATAGTTTTCTACTGACATTCATAAAACGTCATTTTAACAACCATAACTGTAATGCCAGTCGATTATTTTTCACTGATACTGGTGTTTTGATGGCATAGATGTTCTAATGTAGAGGCTACAGGCCTGACCACATTGCCTTTGTTGAAAGCGTGACTAAAAGAGAATAGAGCTCTTGGTTGAGACATAATTAACTTCCCAAGCACAGCAAGCTAACGGTTCATATAGTTACATCACCTCAACCAAATTCAGAGGTGCTCACACTTTTGTACATGCACAAAGGAAGTGGCTTTCATGCTCACTTGTGCACCGAAACACAGACAAGTTCACTGCAAGTCACCGAACTTTGAACACAGACACACAACAGGGCAATCGAGATGTTATAGGAATAAATATTTCACGCAGTCACAACAATAACCTTCAGTCATTCAAGAATAAATTAAGTTGCACTTTCGTTAAATACACCCCGTGTAAATGGCTGCTTGTGCCATATCTGTAGAATGTGAATGTTTAGTGAGTGGTATGTGCCTTCGCTTCCTTTAGAAGCTTAATTATTTTATAGTTTAGATGTGCTTTTATTGTTCCTTTCTTGCACTTTTAAGGATGTTATTTCAATTTTGAAATTCCTTGTACAATGACAATAAAGACATTCAACATTCAATTCAATTCAAATTTTCGTTCAACATCTGAATTAAAAATTAACCACAATCAACTCGTCAGACTACAACCTCTATGACGTACAGCAGGGGTGACCAATCCTGGTTTTCCAACTATCACTGCCCTGCCCGCTGCTGATTACCTGGATCAGGTGTGTTCAGTCAATCAGAAGCTGGGCGATACCAAGATCCTTCGTTTCCTCACTTCTCCTTTGTTTAAGATTGCATCTCCTAGTTGATTGACTGAACACACCTGATCCAGGTAATCAGCAGCGGGTAGGGCATGGATAGTTGGAAAACAAGGAGGGCAGTGCCCCTTGAGGACCGGAATTGCCCACCCCTAGCGTACAGTGTTTCACATTAGAGTGCTCATGTAATAATTTTTTAAAGTCTTAGTTTTCCTTTGAGAGTTTCTATGGAATAAATGAAAAGCTACAATGTTCCACTTACTCACGCATCAGTGACTCATTGCTTCCAGTTAAAGTTTTGCATTTTTGGGTACTTATTTACACATCTTTTTTCCTTATAATAATCAAACACTTCTCTGTAATATGTTTATTTGTTCTACTCACAGCAGACGCATCCATTTGTAATGTAATTTCTCTGATATTCACACTTTTATTCAACGCTACTTCTACATTCAGTCCCAAAAGTACTGCGCTATCAGGTGTCAAAATAGAAAAAGGAACTGCTGCAGATTTGCAGACCAGTGTCCAGTTCGGCTCAGAACTGTTGTTACGGAAAGTGAAGCATAGTAGCATCCCTACAGTGTGTGTTCTTTATCCGTTTGCCACCCAGCTCAAAGTTACCGTACCATGAGGTCATAAAATATGAGCAGCAAACTAAGTTTTAGTGGGGAGGATGGTGTGAACTGGACTACCTAAAAAAAAGGACATGCAGAGAGACTGGGGAAGTGGAAATACTGGTGATGAAAAATGGAGACAAAAAAATGAGAAGAGCTCTTTCAAGAACTGAATAACTGAAACAGCTTTAGATGTAATATGACATCATACCAACAAAAAGACTGCCTGACTGATAATGACTGATGTCTTTACTGAAAGGGAGCACAGCTTACCCCAGCAGGAGTTCCAGAGATAGCGGCGTGAGCCCCCTCTCTATCCCACGGTGCCCCAGGGCACCAGGCCTCCTGACAGCCCTTTAGCTGCTCCAGTAGCGACAGTCTCCTCCTGCTGCTTCTCCATGGGATGGCTGTCGTCCCATTGACTGGACTGTGAACTGCCCTGGACACAAACATATGGACTCATTTAGGTGGTAACTCCTGAAGCCTTCTTGCTTTAAGACAAAAGGTATAATCACGAGTTTCATGTGAGATACAGCTTTGGGGGCATTCAGGTTCAATATCAAACACAAAAAACAATATATTTATGGCATGAAAGGGGTTAATACTTACATGAGTTGGGCTGGTTTAGTTACTTCATGTCCTAGGGTTAATACTTACATGAGTTGGGCTGGTTCAGTTACTTCATGTCCTAGAGACTAAAAATTGCTCCACATGTTGCAATCTTCTCGTTTTTTCAACTCTTCCTTTATAAACAGCACAAAGTGTTGCTTAAGAGCTCGTAGCACCAACAGATCTAAAATAGGAAGCTCACATGCTACCCAGACACACAAGAAGTTTCCTGGTGTAATTTCTAGAATATGCTTTATTTCAAAATTAATACAACTGTCGTACGGCTGCTGCACTTGGCTTCTTCTGCATCCTGCCCATGCTGGCATGTTTCATGTGAAACTGTTCAGCTGATCTATCAATGCCCCTTCCTGCCCCCCCCCCCCACACACACACAAAGTGTGGTAAAACCCAACTCTTTGCAGTGTGAACAATGAGAAGGCACGTCATGCTCTCTACAAAGCTTGATGTGCCTTTTTTTTCCTCCTCTCTGCAGCACCATCTCTGCCTTGCGCTCAGAGACAACAAATGATAAAAAAAAGGCAGGCAGCGATGCTGTTTCACCACAGATTTAAGATAATATATGGTGTAAAGTTTTACAGACTGTATCTTGCAGCTTGGAAGATATTCATACACAGATGCATAAAGTCAACTTTGAACCATAAGTACTTCTTTACCACACAGAAGGGTCTCATGTCTATTTTATTTATGGTTTGCTGGCTGTTCTACAGTCCAGCGTTTCATGGAAACCACAACTAGAGGTGTTGTTTACCTGTCCGCATTTCCATGGCAGCAATTTTCGATTCAAACTATTTTACATCTATGACATGAGCTGTGGCACGAAACAGGACTGGCAGTGTTAACCTGAAGAATCACACTAACTGCATGGCACTAAAGCAGCCAATCAAACACTGAGGATATCTGGTGGTTACTTTCCTATTCTGGCAAAGTACTTCAACCTTTCCACTGTGGAACTTCTGTAAGGGGAATACATGTGGAATAAATGATGACAGCAAAAACATCTAGATTGTGATGCTATAGCTAAGAGTCACAAGTTAAAATTTCAAAGGCCACAACCCCATGGCACAAAAATCTTTAAAGCCTATTTTCTCACTAAGCTTTTTTACTAATAGTGAAGTGGTCTTACATGAAAGCAAACATTTCTGCCAACGTTAGAACAGTTCTAGTCACATCAACTGCAAATGTTCAATTAAAGCAACTTAGATGTGATATCCTGTATTGTTCCGTTTGTGTGTGCATGTGGTGCAATGTCATGGCAGCTTATGCTGTCATTATTTAATTTGGTACATGTGTACAACAATATGTGTGCCTGACCAAATTCGCACCCCCAATGGTGAGGCCACTGCAAGTGGTCCCAAATCACGCATTTGATAAAGCAATTTCACTGAAATCACAATTTATTTTTAAACACATTTCCATTTATTAATTATTTCTTATGAATAATCATACAGTGCCTTGCGAAAGTATTCGGCCCCCTTGAACTTTGCGACCTTTTGCCACATTTCAGGCTTCAAACATAAAGATATAAAACTGTAATTTTTTGTGAAGAATCAACAACAAGTGGGACACAATCATGAAGTAGAACGAAATTTATTGGATATTTCAAACTTTTTTAACAAATAAAAAAACTGAAAAATTGGGCGTGCAAAATTATTCAGCCCCCTTAAGTTAATACTTTGTAGCGCCACCTTTTGCTGCGATTACAGCTGTAAGTCGCTTGGGGTATGTCTATCAGTTTTGCACATCGAGAGACTGAAATTTTTGCCCATTCCTCCTTGCAAAACAGCTCGAGCTCAGTGAGGTTGGATGGAGAGCGTTTGTGAACAGCAGTTTTCAGTTCTTTCCACAGATTCTCGATTGGATTCAGGTCTGGACTTTGACTTGGCCATTCTAACACCTGGATATGTTTATTTGTGAACCATTCCATTGTAGATTTTGCTTTATGTTTTGGATCATTGTCTTGTTGGAAGACAAATCTCCGTCCCAGTCTCAGGTCTTTTGCAGACTCCATCAGGTTTCCTTCCAGAATGGTCCTGTATTTGGCTCCATCCATCTTCCCATCAATTTTAACCATCTTCCCTGTCCCTGCTGAAGAAAAGCAGGCCCAAACCATGATGCTGCCACCACCATGTTTGACAGTGGGGATGGTGTGTTCAGGGTGATGAGCTGTGTTGCTTTTACGCCAAACATAACGTTTTGCATTGTTGCCAAAAAGTTCGATTTTGGTTTCATCTGACCAGAGCACCTTCTTCCACATGTTTGGTGTGTCTCCCAGGTGGCTTGTGGCAAACTTTAAACGACACTTTTTATGGCTATCTTTAAGAAATGGCTTTCTTCTTGCCACTCTTCCATAAAGGCCAGATTTGTGCAGTATACGACTGATTGTTGTCCTATGGACAGAGTCTCCCACCTCAGCTGTAGATCTCTGCAGTTCATCCAGAGTGATCCTGGGCCTCTTGGCTGCATCTCTGATCAGTCTTCTCCTTGTATGAGCTGAAAGTTTAGAGGGACGGCCAGGTCTTGGTGGATTTGCAGTGGTCTGATACTCCTTTCATTTCAATATTATCGCTTGCACAGTGCTCCTTGGGATGTTTAGCTTGGGAAATCTTTTTGTATCCAAATCCGGCTTTAAACTTCTCCACAACAGTATCTTGGACCTGCCTGGTGTGTTCCTTGTTCTTCATGATGCTCTCTGCGCTTTAAACGGAGCTCTGAGACTATCACAGTGCAGGTGCATTTATATGGAGACTTGATTCCACACAGGTGGATTCTATTTATCATTATTAGTCATTTAGGTCAACATTGGATCATTCAGAGATCCTCACTGAACTTCTGGAGAGAGTTTGCTGCACTGAAAGTAAAGGGGCTGAATAATTTTGCACGCCCAATTTTTCAGTTTTTTATTTGTTAAAAAGGTTTGACATATCCAATAAATTTCATTCCACTTCATGATTGTGTCCCACTTGTTGTTGATTCTTCACAAAAAATTAGAGTTTTATATCTTTGTTTGAAGCCTGAAATGTGGCAAAAGGTCGCAAAGTTCAAGGGGGCCGAATACTTTCGCAAGGCACTGTATGTCCAATGCATTTCAATATTCTAAACACAAGACCTGCAGGTAACAGAAGCCTGAAAAAATGACCACAGAGTAAAACCAACTCTGACACAGTCTCAACACAAGTGAACATTATCAGAGTTACAAAGGTTTAATTTATTGCAATATTTGTGTATTGTTTCCATGACACTGTTCAGAAGTTATTGCGTTCACCCCTGTATTTTTTTATTTAATTTCAACACCGCATGATCTTACACCTATCCTGAATAGTTTACTACAGCGCCTCGCAAAAGTATTCATACCCCTTGAATTTTTCCACATTTTGTCACATTACAACCACAAACTTAAATGTATTTTATTGGGATTTTATGTGATAGACCAACACAAAGTATCGCATAATTGGGAAGTGGAAGGAAAATGATATGTGGCGTTCAAGATTTTTTACAAATAAAAATCTGAAAAGTGTGGCGTGTATATGTATTCAGCCCCCTTTACACTCATATCCCTAAATTAAATCCAGGGCAGCCAGCTGCCTTCAGAAGTCACCTAATTAGTAAATAGAGTCCACCTGTGTCTAATTCAATCTCAGTATAAATACAGCTGTTCTGTGAAGGCCTCAGAGGTTTGTTAGAGAACATTAGTGAATAAAACAGCATCATGAAGACTAAGGAACACACCAGTCAGATCAGGGATAAAGTTGTGGAGACTTTTAAAGCAGGATTAGGTTATAAAAACATATCCCAAGCTTTGAACATCTCACGGAGCGCTGTTCAGTCAATCATCTGAAAATGGAAAGCGTACAGTACAACTGCAAACCTACCAAGACATGGCCGTGCATCTAAACTGATGGGCCGGACAAGGAGAGCATTAATCAGAGAAGCAGCCAAGAGGCCCATGGTAACTCTGGAGGAGCTGCAGAGATCCACAGCTCAGGTGGGACAATCTGTCCACAGGACAACTGTTAGTCGTGTACTCCACAAATCTGGCTTTTATGGAAGAGTGGCAAGAAGAAAGCCATTGTTGAAAGAAAGCAATAAGAAGTCCCGTTTGCCACAAGCCATGTAGGGGACACAGCAAACATGTGGAAGAAGGTGCTTTGGTCAGATGAGACCAAAATAGAACTTTTTGGTCTACATGCAAATGCTATGTGTGGCAGAAACGTAACACTGCACATCAACCTGAACACACCATCCCCACTGTGAAACATGGTGGTGGCAGCATCATGCTGTGAGGATGCTTGACTCAAGGGTGCTGAATGCCAGATTTGTGGAGTACACGACTAACAGTTGTCCTGTGGACAGATTGTCCCACCTGAGCTGTGGATCTCTGCAGCTCCTCCAGAGTTACCATGGGCCTCTTGGCTGCTTCTCTGATTAATGCTCTCCTTGTCCGGCCCATCAGTTTAGGTGGACGGCCATGTCTTGTTAGGTTTGCAGTTGTGCCATACGCTTTCCATTTTCAGATGATGGATTGAACAGCGCTCCGTGAGATGTTCAAAGCTTGGGATATGTTTTTATAACCTAATCCTGCTTTAAAAGTCTCCACAACTTTATCCCTGATCTGACTGGTGTGTTCCTTAGTCTTCATGATGCTGTTTGTTCACTAATGTTCTCTAACAAACCTCTGAGGCCTTCACAGAACAAAAAATCTTGAACACCACATATCATTTTCCTTCCACTTCCCAATTATGCGATACTTTGTGTTGGTCTATCATATAAAATCCCAATAAAATACATTTAAGTTTGTGGTTGTAATGTGACAAAATGTGGAAAAATTCAAGGGGTATGAATACTTTTGCAAGGCACTGTATATTAAATCACACCTTACTGTCTCACTTGCTTTTTGTTTCTCTGCAGCACTTTATCAATCCTCAAAGATTTAAAAAGCAAAATCACCTTAGGATCAACGGTGCGAGTAAACTTTAGGTTATATTTTGTGCACCATATTGATGTACACTTTGTAGTTCCATAATAAGAAAGCATCACAATGTTTCTCTTAATTGTCTGAGAACACCGTGTTAAAGAAAAATACAGAAATCTGTTGAAGCAGGAACAAAAAGGTTGACATGAAAAAAGCTGTTAGTTAACAATCAAGTCATTTTGAAAGTTCCACATACCCAGTTCTCCTATTATATTTACAACTAATCAGGAAGTATTTTTTGATATAGATGGTACTTTTTGTGGTCACTGACCAAAGAGGTCAAAAGATTCTGTCTTGGGGGGGAAAAAGATAAACAATAGCCTGGTTAGCATTTTAGGAAGCTAAACTGAAATCAAATACTCAATGAAGAGAAGAGAGTTGGCATGGCTTGGTGCAAATTACTACATCAAAAGTGTCCAACAGTTGGTTTGGACACAATATTTCAGCCTTCATAATTACTAGGCTTGAACAATGCCACTGTACTGCAGTAAAATGCATAGTCAGCTGCCTCAGGAAAAAAACAGATGTGAACTAATGCAACCACAAATGGGCAGGTATGGTAATGCAAGTAAAGTGCAAATAGCTAGCATAAAGTGTAAAAGCATAAAACACAAGGAAGTCAGATGTCCTGTGATTCTGTTCAGAAGAAGCAAATGTCAAGCAGGAAAAAACTGACACTGTGGCAGACATCCATCACAGTTTCACTTCAAGACAAGGGCCAAGTCCAAATTGTGATATCGTGGCAGTAGCTTTGATTAAAAAGGGAGCTTTTTAATTAGCTACTCTTCCTTTTTGGACTCTGGTGCCACAGTTACAGTGCTTGCCTTGGCTGCAGCTCCTTTGCTTTCACTGGCCTTTTCTTTTTTGTCCTGACTGTCAATCCTGGCATGCTCCTTCTTCACCAGTTCTTCCAGCTCCGCCTGGAGAGACACAATAAAAGAAGTGAAAGACAAACATGAAACCTGACATAACCCGAGAATGGTCCGATGATAGCAAGAAAAACAACTTGTGCTTTGTGTTCATTTCTCAGTCAGCGACTACATCATCATACAGGAAAATCATAAATAGCTCAACCTTTCATTTCAAACGTCATCTTTTTGCTTATACTGCAGTTGTACACTGTCAAGACTTTGACTACCACAGGTGTACTTTGCACAAAATACTTCAGATCAGTGTGGATCCATTCAGATACTTCTAGAGGAGTTCAGCTGATGTGGCTAAAAACCTGAAATTCAAGACCTTGAAACTAGGCCATCGTCATTCTCAAATATCATCAGTGTTCAGTGAAACTTACACACTTATTTGCTTTCTTAAAGGATAAGGCCAGTCATTTTATATATTAATAAAAATTAATTAATAGTTGCAGGCAACTTCCCCTAAAAAAGTAACTTGAGGTTTTTATATTTCAGAATTTTCTTCTGACTAAACAAACTGGTGGACTTTAGAGGTGTTGCCATGTGAGCTTTTATTTCTTATAGTGCTGTTTATTTCTTTAACCCTTCATGCAGATGATAGTACTGAGGGCCCAACTGGTGAGTAAGATATTGGTAGCTGTTCATGTACAGCACATACCGTACGGTCTGGTGTATAGAAAAGGTTATTCTTCTGCAAAGAGGATACATTCTTCAAGAGATTTGTTAGTCTGCTCATTTAAAGTACCAGGTACTTCTCATGTGTACTTTATACTGTATAGGACAAATCAAACTTTAATGACCCTATGAGGGAAACTGTGATGATACAGTGGTTACGTTGGCCTAATTACTTCCTGACTGAAATGACAACAGTTTTATTTGCACTGTGGTCAAGACTATTTGCCCTGCGACTGTCCTATGGTCAGTGGGCTGTGCTCCGACATGAAGTACAACCTTACAGTCCATGAACACAAGAGCTACAGATGATTGATTCTTACCTTCCATCCCAGCAGGTCAGCTAGAGCCAAACAGCCATCGTCACATGTACTGATATGAGCTACATCTCTGTAGAGAAAAAGAATACCAACATGTTAGAACCTGGACAGGGCTCCGTGTTTGTTTTTAATTAGTGCAATGACACATGGACAAGGGAGAACAAAGTAGTAAATTTCAACAGACATGATGTGAGAAATGTCCAAAAGTAAATATGTGATAGATGCAACTGTGGCAGGTAGGTGGGTTCCTTATCAGGACCCATGCTGTGCCTTCAGCTGCAAGGCTGAGACAAGCAAGGGCAGTCGGGTCAGGCTGGATGGGGAGAACCATCAGGATCCTTCCTTAGTTCTGTGTAAAACTCAATGATACTAGTGCAATTAGCTACTGGTTACTATTACTAGTACTACTGCTACAAGTGAATACAACATTATCACCTTTCTGGTGTTTAAAGGATTTTACCAACTTGCTGGTCAGGGATGACTGAACAGTTTGTGACTGGTTTGTCATGACAACTACTGAGTGGCTGACTAATTGCTAAGTAAATAATATTAAGTACAAATTACATTAAGTGATACATATAGCAAAAAATATAGTAAAGCACAAAGTATCTCACTAAATGATGATCTGATGATTTGGCACCTTCTAGTGGTGTAAAGGTAAACTGCATGATGTCAGTTTAAACAGATGCACAGAATAAATACAGATTTTGTATAAAAATGATCATTCTGACCATGTTTAGTAACTTTAAAAAACTTATCACCCACTCAGACATAAACATATTTCCCTAATATCTGATCCATTGTATTCATCTAATATCTTATTCTGTAGCTTGACCTGTCTCATCTCTATTTGATTTATTCAGATCAGATCTGTTTTTATATAACCTGAGTTGCAATGGGAGGAAAAAGATAAAATAGTAAGAGAGATGTAGCAGCATCACCTGTATGCCTTGTCTGAGTCAAAGTCCATCCCTCCTCCAAATCCAAGCAACCCCAACAGATGATCAGCCTGTACAGAGGAACACACAAACGGTGCTACAAAGAGAAGCCAAGAAACTCAATGACAGAACCAAGGATAAGAATAAAGACAGAAAAGACTTACCTGCCCTGCCCTCTCCATGTTAATAAGCAGTCTCGGGCAACTTTTTGAAACCCTGAATGACAGAAACAAACAAAAAAACAAAACAGACACGAGGGAGAACAGAGAAACACGGACAAACAAGCAATTACTCACACATTATAATATTAGCAGCTAAAGCTCTTAACAAGAACAATCTACAGTAAGTTCTAAAACATGGGTGAGTGGACATCTTCCTCAGAGACACTTCAACAAGATAAGACTGTTTCTTGAATCAGTCCTGAATCTTTCACAATGCAGGACAGTACCACTGGCTGCTAGACTACACTATACTGTACAATGAATACTGCAGTGTCTGTATTCAGCAGTGTTTCTCAGGAATAGGAAACTTGATCTGTGGTACCTGCCAACTAGACTCGCAAATGGCTGGACCTGCAGAGAAGTCCCCATGATGATGAGAAGATCACAGCGAGGAAAGTCCTGACAAAGGCAAATAAAGACAGTGAAGAGAGTTTATTTCTGCAGAGGCATTATGCCACACTCCCTCCAAACAAGCATGCATACTTGCACTATGTGCTCACCATCTTCATTGAGGAGAAGAACCGCACAGGAAGATTTTCTCCAAAGAAAACGATATCTGGATGAAGAGAAATAAGGGACAGGAGGTACAAGGAGATACGATGATATGGTGACAGAGTTATCTAGCGGTCATGTTTGTAAAGCAGGAAAGAGAGAAAATGGTGTGCAGAACGATTAGGAGGGCTTTAAGAAATGAAGAAGACAATTACACAGGGCAAATGCTTACAGAACTAAAGTGAACAATACTAAAATAAAAAGAAAGAAAGACAGATGAACTGACCTGGCTTGACCAAACTGCTGCACTTGTCACATCGGGGAGCGTCATCAGAAAAGATTTTTTCTACAAAGTAAAGGGAAGAGATTATCCTGAAATCACAACTCACTAGTCTCAGGCTTTTGTTCTTATATGTAAATGCTAACAAAAGCCTAACAAGAGACACCTTTCATCCAGTCCAGGCTGTACTCCTGACGGCAACCGAAGCTGATGCAGTGGGATGTGTAAAATGTTCCGTGAGCTTCAATTAGATCCTCTCCTTCAAGCCCGGCCACTCGCTCCAGGGTATCAATATTCTGAATGAACACACGCATTAATGTCAACGCAGAAACCGTGACTTCACTTGTGTGAAGCTGAGTGTTTTTCTACCTGTGTATAGCAGCGAGTCAGGATCCCCTTATCCTTCAGCATCTTTATGAAGTAGTGACAGACTGTCGGCTAAATGCCAATAAAGGTCAACATGTGAGAAGAAAGTCCTATGAGGTATTTTGTAATTTACTATATGACAAGACAATTAATCAACAATTCATAGCCAACACAAAGTGATGCTGTACCTTAAACTGCCCAGGGTAAAGCTCCTTGGCCAAAGCGAAGAAAGGCTCTGGATGTTTCTAACACACAAGATGGAGACAAATTTTTATTTACACTTTACTGTTATTGCTGAAATTGTTAGCCTTCACGTTGCATAGAGAAAAAATAAATAAATAGGATGGGCAGCCATGGCTCAGGAGGTAGAGCAGGTTGTCTCCTAATTGGAAGGTTACTCAGGGTGTAATTCATGTTTTAATATTTCTACTCTAATTTAAATGTTATCAGTTTTATCAAAATCAAAATGTCAAACTCTCAAGGAATTTGAGAAAGCTGTTACATGCTGTAGTACGTCATCCTTCAAACCTGTCCAAAACAGTCTTCCACAAACCTTAAAGTAGTCTATCTGGAAGATGGCCTCTGGGTAGGGCAGGTTATACTTCTGCAGGTTTGCGTACAGGCCCGTTCCCGGTGAGCGGAAATCAGGGATCCCAGCCGCTGTGGAAAGAGATGGTGTTACAGACTGGAAATGAAATATAATGATGATCACACTTCTGTGACATTAAAGTTGAGAAAACTCACATGTGGATATTCCTGCTCCAACCATACAGATGATGTTTCTACCTGTATGGGTGCAGAGAAACCTCTGGCTTAAATCAATAACTGCACTGTGGTAACAAGCTTGTAAGCAACAAATAAATCCACACATGCTGAATGGATGCAGCATACAGTGAGGAACAGAAGTATTTGAACCCCCTGCGATTTTGCAAGTTCTCCCACTTAGAAATCATGGAGGGGTCTGAAATTCACATTATAGGTTCATTCCCACTCAGAGACAGAATTTAAACAAAAAAAATTCAGGAAATCACATTGTATGATTTGTAAAGAATTTATTTGTCTAGCACTGCTGAACATAAGTATTTGAACACCTGAGAAACAGCAAGAATTCTGGCTCTCAAAGACCTGTTACTGTGCCTTGAAAAAGTCCACCTCTACTCCACTCATTAATCTAAATTAGTAGCACCTGTCTGAGCTCTTTAAAGACACCTGTCCACCCCACAGTCAGTCAGACGCCAACTACTACCATGGGCAAGACCAAAGAGCTGTCAAAAGACACCAGAGACAAAATTGTGGACCTCCACAAGGCTGGAAAGGGCTACAGGGCAATTGCCAAGCAGCTTGGTGAAAATAGATCAACTGTTGGAGCAATTGAGAAAAGGTTTTGTGACCTCTGCAGGCACCCCGGTCAAACATTTAACACAGCTGTTAGATTTATATCATGCACTCTTAGAACCAGAAAAGTAGCCATAATCAAATGCAGAGGACACCAAAAGGGAGATGGAAGAATAGACAGAGGCAACAATGCAGCTGATTTTACTGCTATAACTGCAGCTGGCTACACTGTATATACTATACATAGACAAATGATTCAGAAGTCAATGAATGAAAAACCACATTGGGACTTATGCACACAGAACATTAAAAAGCTGCAAGAAGCAGCTGCTCCATCACAAAAACAGGGCAAAGAGAGATTGGCAAAAGTCTGCGCAGACACCAAATTTAATTTTAGTCCTCATGAAGTCCTGACAGGAAGGACCATGCCCTGTCCTTTCACTATTGCCCCCACAGATTCCTCACCAGCATTAGTTACAACATGAGGCCTTGTGTGAATATGCACGAACACTGAATAACACTGTGATGAGCATCTCTCAACAGGTGACACCAAGGAACAGGACCCAGACCTCAATCCAATAGAACATCTTTGGAGGGAGCTTAAACTCCGCGCTGCTCAGCGACAGCCCCGAAACCTGACAGATCTAGAGGAGATCTGTGTGGAGGAGTGGGCCAAAATCCCTGTTGCAGTGTGTGCAAACCTGGTCAAGAAGTACAGGAAACGTTTGACCTCTGTAATTGCAAACAAAGGTTTCTGTACCAAATATTAACACTGATTTTCTCAGGTGTTTTATATACTTATGTTCAGCAGTGCAAGACAAATAAATTCTTTAAAAAATCATACAATGTGATTTCCTGAATTTTTTTTTTTAAATTCTGTCTCTCAGAGTGGGAATGCACCTACAATGTGAATTTCAGACCCCTCCATGATTTCTAAGTGGGAGAACTTGCAAAATCACAGGGTGTTCAAATACTTCTGTTCCTCACTGTATAGCAGAAAGCAGACACAGACTCACATTTGCCACTCTTTATGTAGCGCGCTACTCCATCCAGACTCAGCTCGTCCAGAACTTTTTCTGCTGAGCCGAGGCCCAGGGCGCTAGAGAAGAGGTTACGCAGAAAGTCCACTGACAGGAACACAGTGGAGGAGTCAGATGAGGATTTAAAAATGAAACAAAACACAGGGAAATTCACTCTTGTATGGACATAAATTCATACCAAACTCAAGTCAAAATTATCAGGATCTACTTAAGCAATTTGGCTCCCACACAAAACAGCAGACAGCACTTATTTTAATAAAATGGTACATTTTTGTTCACATGCGTCTAGTTTTGTAGAAACAGACAGTACCAGTACAGATTGACAAATTACATGATACCAAAACTAAATATGGCCTAACAGGTAACAATCGTGCAGTGAGATTTATCCACCAAGAAATTCTGCATACTGCCAGATTTCAGTCTGGCTCTTAATACACCACAGATTACAAGGAATAAAGGCAGCTAAAACTAACAATAGTAGAATCAAATAAAACAGTTAACTGGAGAATCAACAACTGAATGCATCCAATATGATGTGCCAGTTGTAATGTCAGGGCAGTACTGCATGTTACGTGTTTGTGTTTACGTACTCTCTGTGTCTCCTGTCGCCTCTTCCTCGCTGCTGTCGTCGGAATGTTCCTAGAAATGAAACAATTGTGACAATAAATTCAGCAGCAGTGAACCGTAAACTCACTCTGTCTGGCTGTCAGGAGTTAATGAAACACCTGCCATGTCAGACGATAACAGCTGATGGCTTTGTTTTGATAGTTCATCTGGCAATCAGCTGAGTAACACCCAACTACTTGCTAACACTGACTAGCAACCGGCTACGGGCAGATATATTATCTGTCTTACCTCTTGTTCAGGTGTAACCTCCTCCTCTTCTTCTTCTTTTTTAGGAAGTTCTACAAATTGAAAATTAAACAACGTTATCACGTCAATCTCAGCCTCCACAAAGACTTCTGTCGAGATACAGAAATGTTAGCTGCATTGCTATAGCTGAACTACGCGACGTTTCATAGCCTGGTTTTCACACTTGTAAGTTAATTTTCACATCAGACACCGTTCCTACCTGGTGCATCAGACATTTATACGTCTACAGAGACCCTTTAACCTCAAGGGTCCGAATGGCAATAATTTAAATTTTATCTTTTACAAAGTTGTAAGCTACCACTACAACGAACAGCTGACACTCAGTTGTCCGTCGCAAACACAGCCCGTGTATGTGGTGACCCAGTTCCCGGGGCATTATTAGTTCCGACTGCTGATCTAACAATTTGATGTTGTGTTAAATGCAGTCTAAAACAGCATATATTCAACAAACCCACTATTAATCAATATAGATAACATGACAAATGAATATAGATATTTGCGTACTTCTTTAAAGCAGGCGGTGGCTCCCATCATGCACAAAGAAATGACACTTAAGAGTCTTAATAAGATTAGCTCCACACCTGCTGACCAGGCGAGTGGAGATGCAATGTGTTTACAAAAATACCAGTAATTTCCATCCCCATTCACCTTATTCTTCCAGTCCAACTACAGTCTTCATCAGCACACTGCTACAGTACAAGGCTCACAGTGGATTATGCGCTTTAGTTTGCTGTAAACTTCCACGGTGAAGATTAGAATTGCATACAACCACACGGTGACTTGGTGTCATATGGTTTTCATTGTTTATTAAACCTGTAACATGAATTCACCGAGAAACATCACAATAACTATGATATTGAACAATTAAATCCTTATTTACTACAATTACAATTATATTTACAATTCAACAACAAATAAAATCATTACCATATATGCAAGCAAAGTGTGAAATTTTTCAGACAAAGATATGCTGTTGCCTAAATTTAGATTTACATCATAAATGGGCATATTCTTAACAGCAAGTTGATTCTGGGGGAAAACAACACATTGTCTATGTCCAATTAAATTTGAGTCTGAAGCTGCTGATCCTTGTGGAGTGTGTCAAGGAGATGTCAATTGTAAAATTCAACAGTTCATATGTTCTGGACTTTCTGTGTGATCTCCCTAAACTAGCTTGGTTTGATACTGAAACTAAGCTGTGATGGCTGTTTTGCTGCAGAAATGAGTCTTACTGTCTCATCTTCTTATGTCACAAGTTTCCTCTGCGCCTCCTTTGGCACCATCAGCACCCATTCTATAAAACTACAGTGCAGTGACAGCAGAGCTCACACCCTGTATCACTTGATTCTTCAGATTCTTGTTCCTGTCCATGCACTACCTCTGCACCTCCTCCTCTCCACCATGCTGCTTTATGCTGTAGTCATAGCCAGTAGCAATGATCTGGCACTGTGGTAACATTTCCTCTAACAGGATGACGACCAAGCCAGGACTTGAAATCCCAGGGAGGGATGATAGGTCCAGACGCCGCAGTCCCCTGCACACACAATACACAAAAGGGAGTTATTTAGCACAACAGTAGTGTTTTGGTAATCACAACAAGGCTATAATGTGAGTGTCTGGATAATTACTTGAGATTCCTCAGTGCAGCCAGGCCGCCCGTAGTGATGCGTGGACAGTGAGAGATGTCCAGTTCCTCCAGAGAGTCCTCGAACACATGGAGCCTAGCCAGGAACCAATCGTCCACTTCAGGACATCCTCGTAATGCTAGAGTCCTCAAAGATTGCTGCCCCTCTGACGGAAGACAAATCAGATCAAAAACTGACATGTAGAATATTAAAATGAATTCAAAGTACATGTGCCTAACAAAGTAAGACAGAGAAAGAATGAGGTTACAGCAGAACAATTGTACTTTTGAAGGGGAAAAAAAGAAAGAAACTGAAAAAGATAAATGAGGCTGAGTTGAAGCTCTTTACCCAGATTGTCCAATCCTCTGTAGTTGATGACAGTGTAGCTCATGTCTACTTCCTCTAGGGGTGTGTCTTTGTGATTCAAGAAATCCCAGTTGAACTTGCCCCTTTGGTCTGCACGAAACCAGTCTGACTGGCCAACAAATCTAAGGACATATCAAAGACCGTAACATGAAAACTGGGTCAGAGCACCACATTTAAAATATAACCATAACAGTAATGTTGCAGATAGTTATTAACTACCAGGAAAAACAAGAAAATTAACATTTTGGGTGTGCCAAGTGTATATGAACTCATCTGAGCCTTGTGTGCAGCTAAACCCTGCGCTCAATCAAACTCACAGGCAGTAACTTGAATCAATCACATCAATGCTGAGATTACACCTCAAATGTATTAATTATTTAATGAAATGATGAGCTCTTCTTCTGAATGGCTTTATGAAAGGAACAGAGCCATAGGATTTGGTTCTGTTCAAAGAACCGCTATTCCCATCACTAGTTCAGACAAAACTAAATCCAAGAGCCAATCTGGTCCCTGAGAAGTTGTGGTGTTTTTCTCTCTGCTTTTTTCAATTTTTCAACATTTTACGAAATAGTTAAACATAAACACACCTGTCAATTTCAAGGCCATAAAATGGCAGGTTCAGGGAGTGCCATTGTCTCATCACTTGTAACAAAGAGGTCATCTAACCCCATAGTTGCATGTACAGTCCAAAGGCTGATTTGAACAATCATTAAAAAAGAAAATAAAAACATTTATTAAAAAAGAAGCTAATCCTACAGCATATCCATACACAATGATGATGTGATGGAATGAGGCACTTACCTAAATCCTCCCTTCAGACTCAAGATATAAAATGCTGCTGCTATGTCTGACCCATATAATCTCTGAGTGAAGTCGTAGTAACTGTGAAAGACAGAGGAAGAAAGTCAGTGAAGGCCAAATTTAATGGTCTCCATCTCACTAAGGAGAAACTGGCAAGGATATATCCTAACAGGGATCCCACTTGTGATCAATAAAATCTGCAACTGCAATGTGGTTACATATGTTTTGGTTGTGCCCAAGTCTTCAGACATTTTGGAGGAAGATTGATTCTTTCAGTGTGACTATTGAACCCCTTCCTGCTACTGCCCTGTTTGGACTGATGCCCAAGGATATAACATGGCTGGCCGGAATGTGATAGCTTTCACTACAGTACTCTCATCCTGCTTAAATGGAAGCGATCGGTACCACTATCTCATACAAGATGGCCATTGTTTTATCTGAAACTGGAAAAAAAAAAAAATCAAGATCACACTGAAGGGGGAATGTGAATAAATCTGAAAGAATTTGGAAAGCCTTTTCTAAACTACTATGACAACTTAACCCAAATTAACAACAAATTGGGAGAGTTCATAATTTAAATTCTTTTTGGTTTGATCAAAGTTATTTTATAGATATAATAATGAATGAAGAGTTTCATCTCATTAACCCTGTTTCACTTGGACAGATACCAGCATAGCAACCAAAACATTTTAAAAAATATCTTACGCATTCTTCCTCATAATCCCCTTCCTCCTCAGCTGACCCCTCCAGCTCAGCAACATTTCCAGATCATAGAAACGCTGAGTGAGGAAGAGGAGTATCCTTCTGTGCAGGGGAGGTGGAGACACTGATCTGGAGCTTGACAGTTTCCTAGCAACAAGATGGCAAACTGACTGCTGGCAACATCTGTATAGAGACTGTACAGACAGAGAGAGATGGGAAACAGTGACTATAAATGACTTTTTTCAAAAACACATCAGGTGCCATCTTGAGAAATGCACTCTGGATTGGAGATTGCACCCTGTGGCAGGAGAGACAAGGTAAAACATGATACAGTTCCTATCATAAAATAATTTATGGTGATCTTATTACACAGTAGCAAAATATACATATATGCTGGTGTCACTGGACAATTAGAAGTGATTTTGATGAGGGTTAATAAGAAAAAAATCTAACAGAAACACAGGACACATCAATGATAAAATATAAAAACAAAAATCCTAAAGAGCTGCAGAAATGTTCAGTGGTTGATTTCTGTTGGTAGGCATCCAATAACAGCGGACGTTTCCTGGATCTGTCACTTATGGACTGCTCAAAGTGAAAGGAGATACCAAGAAAACAAATAAACAAACAAAATACTTTAAGTAGTAATACGTATTATGTGTTGGAAGTTATGGATTGTGACCGCCAAAGGAGGGGGCAGAGAACTGGATAAAGGTTGATTGCTTCCCTAACATGTACTAGACCTCTAAATGCACTCACAGACATGTATGATATCACAGCTTAATACGATATCACAACACGCTTCATGCCAACAATTTTTAGAATTTAGAAGTTAACCTTAGCTCAGTAATTTACACAGCCTACAATCAAAGGTACAGAGCTTCATGAAAGACTGCCTTATGCCATTGTTAGAAAGCCTGAAACAAGAATTTATAGATATCTTATGTTTAGTAAAACTAAATACAAACCCCAAAGACCGTTGCTAGAAATGGGTTAGCGTTATACAGTTAGATGTTAGCTAACGTTAACTACATTCAGTCCATTACAGCATTATAGGAAAACCCTAACAACTGCATATGCTATAAGCCTATAAATTGAGCGCACACACCTTGTAACAGATTATTATCTGTCATTTAAATAGATAGTAAAAAAATAAAATAAAAACTCCATACAGTTTGTGATTTATCAGGTAAGTGCAGTAAAATCTTGAAAAGCAACTCACCTTACAAGAGGCCGCCATTTTTGCACCATTCAACGGATAGTCGTACAGGACAAACTTTACGCCTTCGCATTTCAGTTGTTCACTTTATCTACCGCAAGGTGGCGCCCCATGCACGTCTCTATTCTTGACTAGAGGAACCCGAACTGGCATTACACACACCAGTGGGTTAAAATATAAAGACAAGATGGGTAAATCGGTGAACTACTTTAGCGTGAACCAGGCTACTGCATGGTGACTGAAATGTCAGACTGTCAGACAAAAACATCATGCACAAACTGAATCAGTCACCTACAGCCTCACTTTGCTGCTCATGTATGTTTACTTGTTTATTCAATTTTCCTCCAAGCATTCCTGAATACCCCAGGGAAAGAAGACAGTTTGAAACACCACCTGCCTGACAGATGTGTCATGGAAAAACAAGTATACTGTACCAATACCAATACCACTCCAGGTCCCCAAGCTCCTGCACTCACAGTGAGTGTGCTGTGGCAGATGGTCCACACCTGCCGGTATAAACAATTAGCAAATTAGATGACAGCTTGCACTTGTCCTGTGTGTTTGCAAAAAATTGGTGGAGAAAAGAAGCAACAGTGAATGGTGAGGTTTATACTGATCGGGTATGTTCAGTGGCTTATGTGTTTCCAATGAGTGACCAACATCCATGAGCACTGGTGTCACACATAACTACATGGTAAAGACATTGCCATGAAAGCTGTTTACAACTGATTTGGTCCTATTAGAGAGCTTGACAAAGGGATCAAAGGATTGAGGAAAAGGCAGAATCAATGTAGAAAATAAAATTACTGAAGTCTTGGATGAACATATGGACCAATAAAGGGAGTGAGTGGAAGAGGGACCCAATAGGGAATGGATGGTGGAACAGGTGCTCACTGGACCAAAATGTTTGCAATGTCCTCATGGTGCATGTGCCTCCAAAACACCATGTGTGATTGTGCATGCAGGTACATTTATGGGTGTTTGTGCATATGTCCCTGAGAGTGATGATCATCGATTTTAATCTTAAATAATTAAATATTCTAAGCGCATCTCCAGATGGAAACACCCCTGCTAAACCCAGTGATCTGTGTCAGGTTGAGATGACAGTTTATTTTGTATACTACCTCAGGAATATTCATGTGTTCAGATCAAAAGCACTTCTCTTTGAAATTCACCTTACTGTGTTGTTGATGGGATTTTCATTGATATGTAGGGTTTGATGCACTGTATTCATACCCCATATGTTTCTTTGTACTCATGAATTTTAATTGGGCCCTAATGGACATTTGAAAAGCAACCATGCAATAAAGTTTAGAGTCTGAAAAGACAGCCATTGCTATTCTGTGCCATGAGAAAGTACAACCTCTTAAATGTTAGATGTAATAAAGGGCTTTGATGCAATAGTCTTTGATGCATCCTAAATATCACTAACAATATCATTTGAAGGCTAAGAATAGTGTCATGGCATCAAACATGACATCAAATTGAAACTTATGCACTGTGTGCATGCAATGTGCAAACCCTGTGCCATGCGCAAAGTGTTAAGGATCGATATTGTGTTTTAAGTGGAAAGATATAAGTTACATTCACATCTTAAAAGCTGCAAAAGCAGTGATACAATTTCTGGATACTCCCCCACCCCATTTTCTAAACCGCTTAGTCCCAAATGGGGTCACAGGGAGCTGGAGCCAATCCCAGCCAGCTGCGGGCGCACTCCTACAGGCAATTTAGAGACACCAATCAGCCTATGCTGCCACCCTTGAATCATTAAATCCTTGAAACCTTGAAACATTTTGCTCCACTGATATGAACCATCATTCCCTCCACATGCACTGGCAGACTCATCGTGTTCTTGGCACATGCATACGGGCGGTATTATACCAGTTATGAGCAGACAACTTTAGTCTGCTCTTCTCAAATGCCAACCTTATTATCTATGACTATTCTGTAATTTATGACAATGTTATTTATTTTAAGCAGTACAAGACAGAGCTGCTTCCACAGTCTTGTTGCTAAATGAAGCCTGAGGTCTCTAATAGCTGCTCCCCTGTGGCTTTTCACTTTTTACTGTGCGCTGCAGTATGATGGCCCAACAGGAAAGCCATTAGCCACTGGCTGTGTCTCTCATTCTTCCTCTCAGCCCCAGCCTCTTCCCTGTGTTTCTGCAGAGATGTAGTAAAGACAGGCGCACACCCACATGTCACGTTCACATACAGTACATACATGCACAACCTTCTGTAACATTCTTGAGACCGTTAGCAACTGTCAGGGTTGTTTTGGCCTGGTCTCATAGGGCCACTGGAGTCTACATCCACAGTCCTGCTATGAAAAGTCATTAAAGGGCAGTTGTACTGGGAAGGTGCTCAGAATGAGGAACAGTCACTGGGAGGGCAACAGGAGGTCACAAAGCGTATAATGAGCAAAGCTAAAACTGACTGAATCAGTGCTTAAAAAATCAGCTATACATATTGCGGACTACATATTTTTCTCAACATACTGGCTTGAAATGTAATTAAATGGAAAATGAGATAGCAAATGTATATTATATTAAATGATCAATAGGTACAGGTTGTCATAGATGAAACAATTAATATTTTGCTGAAGCATAAATAACCCAAAATGTACTGTAATACACACATACACACATCTTCTGTAAATAAGTGTGCATACCAGCGCTGGACTGTGATGTGTGCCTTTTTATCTTTTGTACATTTGTTCATTATCCACACACTGCACTAGAGCACATAATCATCATCTTGTTATCCCTCTTTTTCACACATCTGTACTGATGTTCAAGAGAATGTATTACCATGGTGACAAACAGCACAGCGACCCAACCTGTCTTTATACATGCTGCGCAATTATACAGCACCATTATCTTGTAGGGAGGTGTCACTCAGAATAGCACATCAGCCAAAAATAGCATAAACCGAGCAGAGCACACTGTAAGATAGGCTACACATAAAATCACTGCTATTCACTTAGATCAGTGCTGTACAGGCACAAAAATATGATCAGACACAGCTCTCTGGAGATCACTGCTCTCCCATGCATGTGACCCTAAGGATCCGGAGGACAGAACAGGGCAAGGTTCAGTTTTCCTCTGAGACTTCATACCAGAAATAAGAGTTACTGCTGGGTCCTCCAAATCTTTTCAACAAGCTGATACACACACACACACAGTTATGTACAGTAGACTCTCTCTTGATTTAACATGAATTATATGTTATATCTAAGTAATGCATTTTAGGTTTCATATACAAACACTTTTCACAATCGTTCTCTCTGTCTCCTGTCTCTCTCTGTAAGATAACATCTGTACAGTACGGTAGAAGTATTCCGATTATGCTGGAGAGCTTTCACTGTGTCAGCCACATAGCAGCAGATGAATAATGCAAATGAAATAAAGGAATTTTTGTCTGCAACTTACATTAGATGTAAGTTGTAAACTGATGCTAAACTCAAAACTTCTGACTTGCCATCTTTGTTGTGTGACTTTTGAATGACCTCTTACATGAGATATTTTATTTAATTAACTTAATTTAGTTCATTAGAAGTACATAAAAAGCCTGATTGATGAAGTCAAAGGTCCCAGAAAGCAATTTTGAACATATATAAAATGTTATATGAATGCAATGCTTTTTAAAATTGGTGCATTCATTCACTTTTAAATGAATGAACAAATGTCTTTATCATAAAGTCTATAAATCAGTGCAGTCCTGTTCTCTCATATCCTCCTTCTCACCTCTTCCTTAGCTTCCTCTTTGTTCTTTTTGCGCTTCACACCCAAAGTCAACCTCTCTTCCTTCATCTCTCTTTTACAGTCACCTTCTGCAGCATGCAAGTCAGGTTTTTAATGTATACATTTACAAATGTCTTATCATTTCTGTACATGTTCTTTCCTAATCTCTCCTTCCCTCTGTAGTTGTCAGCAGAATTTTGAGTTGAGCCTGTGGTTCATAATAAGTGCTCATACAGCTCAAATGCACATATGCATATGAATACATGTCAGAAAAAGAGTGCAAGAGAGGAAAAGGAGAAAGAATATGTGAAATGACTCATAGATTGAGCTGCAAATCTTGAATAGTACATTCATGTTCTGGCTGTTCGTTCTCACTGTCATCAATCACAGTGCTGTCGTTTTACTCCACTATAGCTTTATTACTGTAAGCTGATAATGGACCCAGGGCTGAACATCACCCAGGCAATATCTGCTTCTATTCAAACTATGACTGAATAATCTGAACAGGCAAATCCATTCTGAAGTGTGTATTAATAGCTGTGATGTGACACAACAATGTTTTTATATAGGTATATGTTAGTATTAGTATTAGTCAATACACTGTCACTATTGGTGTTAGTGCCACTGATAAATGCATAAAATCTGTTGTGATGAGTCCATGTGCTGTTACATAACCTAGCAATCTTTCTGTTTCTTCCCGTAACCTCACACCCCTCATCTACATCAGAACTCTTTGCTCTTTCAGGTGATAAGATGATTAGTGAGATGACAACCTTCTGTCACAGCTGGACACGCAGCAGGACGTCTGATGAAGTGGAGCCAAATCCCAGGATTCTGCTTTCTGCTGTCTACTGAAGATTGAAGATTATCCCTCTGTTTCCAAAAAATCATTTTAATGTTGAGATCTGATTCAGTTTTTGGAGATGACCAAAATAAAGCCTTTTGTTTTTCGGTAAGCACATGCAGGTTGAACTGGCAGTAACCCCAGACCTAGCAGGGATTTTCACCAAACACGTGTTGCATGTAATAGCATAAAATATTTATTAAGGCACCTTTGAACCTCTTATTCTCAACAAATATATAATACACACAGTCAAGACATCCAAACAATTTTATGGGAAAAATGGTGCATTATCTGACAGAAATGCAGGGGTTACAATATTTTTGGCCATGACTGTAGATGTATGTAGTGTATCTACAGTATGATGGATTATGAGCATGATGCTCCAAATATGATGCATTTACCCAAAATTCAACATGCTGTGATGCCAACTTCACATTCTTTATACATACTATAATAAAATATATGACATGAATCACTTGAAATCCATTGGCAGATTTGATTATGTACATTTATTTTTTACTCCACA